AGTTCTAAAGTCAGAATTGCGTGATATAAACTCGCAATTGCGAGTTAAAGTCCAATTTTGAGGGGGGAAAAAAGGCTGATATGTTCTCAGAATTGCGAGTTTATATCTCACAATTCTGACTTTATAACTCGCAATTGCGAGTTTGTATTACGCAATTCTGAGAAAAAAAGCCAGAATTGTGAGATAAAAAGTCGCAATTACCTCTTTTCTTTTTTATTCAGTGGCGGAAACGGGCTTCCATACGTTTTCAACTATCACAGAATAATATTAAAAGGTTCCATTATGAACAGAAAAGAACTAAAACAAAAATTCTTCCGAGATTGTAAATGCAAAAACAGTTACCAGAAAAGCCTGATATATCGAATATGATGCATAAAAAAACAAGGAAAATAAGTTTGCTTTATCATTATTTTTTTTATTTTGGTCTAAAGGTTCAATAGAACCTTTTTTTTTTTTTTTACTGTTTTTACAGTATTATTTCCTTATTATTGTCCCTAGATCAAGTATATGGGATTTTCTAAGCCCATTTTATCACCTGCTAGGTGATCATAAATTCACTTCTTTAAAAACGTAACAACACCACAACAAGCCACATGATTTGAGATATCACTCATGTGTGTAGCACAAATGGGTTTATATTCAATTCCCCAACCCTAATATGAGTAATAGTAATACTTGCCTTGGCAAACACCCTTAACAGTGACCTTGAGATGAAAGAACTAACCAATCAAATGGCATCCCACATTCCTTAATATTTAGGAACAACTTCAAACTTGTGATAATTTTTAGACTTTAGCATCTAGATAAATTAAGCTGACTTACAGAACGTATCTAAGAGTTTTATCCTTGCTCTCAGATATCCAAAGATTAGATTGATAATGTTTAGCTCTATTATATAGAAGCTGCCAAGTATCATGATAGCTCATCGATTCAAAGCTTTATCTTGTGCCATTGTTTTAAGAATCGCCGTTACCCATCCAAAAAGCTTCTGGCAACAACAAAGAAAAGTAGAGGTTGTTTGTCAAAAAAGTTGTTTTAAACATTGCACTTCAAAAATAACTTTTTTGTCGCTGGTGTACAATGAAACGCCTGCTGTTGCATGTGACGACTACAACAGTTGCAGATCACCATGTTCAACCTCCATCTTTGAGAACAGGAAGATTTAGAACCGAACTTTAGACCATTCCTGGAAATATGAGTGATGACAAGGCATGCTTTTTTCCAGTAAGCAACAGATAATTTTGCGGGTGACACAAAGGAGGATCCTTGGGGAGTAAACGGCTGAGTTTTGACTGAAGGCACATCTCTCAAGGCTGATTTTCTCTCTTGAAGCCATTGTCTGTCAGTGGGGAGCTGATCTGAGCTGTGACCATTGTGTTGCTGGAGGAGAAAAGCAGAAAAATACTGGCTACAGTATGCAACTGCAGTGCTTTGCACCCTCTCAAACCATCTTCACATAAATGAGGTTACATCAGATGACCTGTTTTCAAAGTCAGTGAATTCAGGCAGAAATATTTGCTGCATATGACAGGGCTTTCATGTACTTGGATTATTTTTATTGCCTTTTTGATACTGTTAAAGCCTAATCTACTTCTAGACAGAAGCAAATATTGACTTTCTCAACAGCATTTAAGATAATATTTCATATTTTAACCGTAAATTACCTTTTAAACTGATTATTTATTTAGAAGATGCTTTTAGGGATAAAAAAATTTATGGTTTTTGAATTGGCTCTTCTGGAATATGAACCTATAGCCTTACTTTGTATATTAACTGGATGCAGCATGACAAGATTTCAAGATTTTAAAACAACATTTTAATGTGGGCAAGACTACTCAACACAATGTGGTAAAAAAAAGAAAAAGAAAACTGACTAAATGTCTTGTCATGCATCATTTGTCACAGTTCCCACTTGTTAGGACAAATCTCCTATTAAAATGAATGAGATGTGACTTGCCACCAGTGGCGGCGCTAGGGCGGGACTTGACGGGGCT